ACAAGGGGATAAAGGGAAAGAAGGAGCTCAAGAGAGGTAGGACCATAGGAGAAGGGTATTAGTAAGGGAGAAAGAGGGGAAATGGTGGCACCTTGGGTGGGAAAACCATGATGGAGGGGTGAGACAATGTGAGAGATAAACAATGCCTAGCTAGCTTTGAAAACCAGAGAGAACCATATTACTCCTACAACCTACTGACAAATTATACATAGCAGATCAAGAAATATATGTCTAGGTAAGGTTTCTCTGAGAATGGCTGATCTTTGCCCAAGATTTATCTACATGACACACAGTAATTAAAAATACCAGACTGGTGGAACTAAACTTCTTGGGTGTTTAACAGACATGCTTTGAGGTCTGTAATGATTTGGTCAGAGGGACAAAAAGGACACTTTTTGCTCCTTGCCCTCCTAGGTCAACTAGTTCCAGGGGACTATGAATATCTCTCAAAATGTCCTATAATGGACGTGGGTCACCTGTCCTCTTGATCAAGGAGGCCAAGGAGACCCCACCAGATGGACTTGAACCAGTGTCCAGTCTATAAAAAGGAGGGTCAACACAGAGGAATCATTTCCTCCATGCTTCCAAGCAAAGCCAACCATGGTTGAGCAGGACCTTTGACTAATTTCACATACGTGGAACTGGTAAAAGAAAGAATCCAGGGGCTCCTCCCAAGCCCATATGACCCCTGAGGAACAGATCCTCAAACGACCTTAAGAGTAAAAATAAATCGGTTTTATCTGGACTAACTGTATGGTCTTAAACACCCAAAAGGAAAGTATAACCAAAGATTAAATGGGCCAACATAATTTCATGAGTCCATATGTATAGCTAAAGGCTACATAACAAGCAACAATGCCAGACAAGCGATACCTTCTTTTCAGTTGTTGGCCACAGTGGCCAAAGGGATTCCCAAATAGTACCCTGGAATGAACTAGGAAAATGAACAGCAGACTCCAATATTATCCAAAGGAATATTGGCAATTGATTATGGCTAGATGAGGAACAGCTGACCCTCCTAAAACAAAGACCTCTAGATAGGCTGACTAGATTCACCAGAAGGGCAAGTACTGGGGAATGGCTGGGGGTGCCAACAACACAGCAGACAGTAGCAGGAATATCAGAGGATAAGGGCTCTAGT